ACCTTTTTGATCGTGGTCCTGCACTGCACTTGTACTCGATTCAACAGTGAAGTCTGGATAGTTGTTGTTGGACAGAGAAGTGTTGGATTTTCCAATCTTGTGATCCCAGATACCACTCCACACGTTGCCCTCGACACCTCTGGCCCCTGTGTCTCCTTCAGTCTGCAGGCTGAGAGCCAACATGTAGTCCAGACCAGATGAATCATCATCCAGAGTGTGCTCAGTATGTGCCCATGTGCTGCCGCTTCTGCTGTGCAGAAAATCACTCTGCCCCAGCACTGGAAGTACAAGATATTTAAAAATAATAATAATAATTAGTTCAGGAAAATAACTCAACAGCATGGCAAATTCATTCTAATCTCTATGCAAAATGTAGAGTAAAAGAAAATATAAATGTCTGTTTAATTATTTTTGGTAAAATGTAAAAGTTAAAAAACAAACATGACAGTAGGAGACCTAAAGTGTGAGCAATATTTCACAAGTTTTTGAAGAAAACTGCCAATAACACTGAGGTTATGCTGATATAGACAAACACACAGTGCTGTGTATGTTCTGTCTGTGTATGTGTGACCTCCCGCGCAATCAGGAGTTGAGGAACCAAATTTTGCACACAGGTACATCTTAGGCCCCTGAAGCTTCCGATCTAAAACACACGTTATGATGATATCATCATGATACCTAGCAATTATCTAGCAATGGGGTAAAATAACACATTTTTCAGTTTAAGCACCTACAACACCTTATAAAAGTATTTTAATTTTTCAGCTAGTTACATTTCTGGAGCATTCATTTGTGTGCTGCTGTTTCAAAATGTATCAATCAAAACACTCACAGCTGCTGAAAGGATTCTGTGGTGAAATATTTCTCCAGTCTCCTAAGGGCCGAAATCCCCTTGAAGTATTATAAACTGAAGGTCGGGGAAAGACCTGCTGCTCTGCTGCACTGACGTTATTATTTTTCGGGCCTCTCTCTTGGCTTCTCAGGGGGTTTCTAATAGAGTGAGCTTCCAGCCATGCCCCTGACTGAGGGTCCCCTGGACTTCGACCCATCCTACTGTTGTTTCTTTCTTGGGGCGGTGTGAGGCTTCCACATAAGGCCGGATGTGTAGCTTGTTCTCGCAGCATTACATTGCACTTGCAGTAGGGACAAGGCTCAGTGCGCGTTCCACAATAATCCTCGTGGTCTTTGGACTGACTGAAGACAAGCTCCAGTTCGCAGTACTGGCATGGAACCAGCCGCTGAGAGCATTCAGAGCTCTGCAACAGACAATCATCATGAAGACGCAGGATTTAATGAAGATTAACGAAGCTAAGAGTTATAAAAATAAGGAATGGAAAGGCTTTCCAATAATACCTGGTGGGCATCCAAATTATTCTTCTCAATCTTCAAACCACACTTGCAGGTAATCTAAAATGAAAAGCACAGGATTTATTACATTATCGCTGTTGTGACACTTTAGAATCCAATAAGGTTTAAATAAAGAAAAAAACAACAACCCCCCACCCCCACCCCAAAAAAACACACTAACAGAGCTTGCACTTGAGAAGAATTTAACTTTTACATTTTTTAACTTTAACTTTTTACACTTTACACATTAATAAAACTTGTAGAGAGCAGGATGAAACTTTTTTTCCAGGTTCAGAAAAAGTTTGAGAACCACTGCAACAAAAAAAAAAAAAAAAAAAAAAAAAAAATATCATCTGTGATGTATCACAATATTTCAGCAACTGAGAAACACAAAATGTACATAAAAATATTTTAAAAAGCAGTGACTATGTATCACCGTGTGTTTTATCATTATTATTCCCTTCTGACAAGATGTCCTGCGCACAATTACATCTCTGTCAGCCATCTTCCTTCTGAGTTTCTATTTCTTCATTTCAAGTTAGCCAACTTTCATTTCCTTAAGCCCTTTCCTTTTGTTAAGTAACACCAAATGAGTCATAAAGTAAGAGAATCCAGTGAAATCAAATGGGTGGTGGAATCAATTTACAGCAAATAAATGTTTTCATAAATTCAGAATTGAATTTACAAAGCTTCTTTCAACATACAAAGTCTTGAATAATTAGGCCCCGTTATATCCCTTATATATTATTATCCTAACAGAGCACTTTAATCTCGCACTGCAAGTTAACTTCAGTCTCCATGAGTTTTCAAACATAGAATGGGAGGCAAAACCTTCAACTTTCAGGCCCCGCAACTATGGAACCATCTCCGAGTTCGGATTTAGGAGACAGACCCTCTCTATTTTTAATATTAGGCTTAAAAGTTTCTTTTTTGATCCACCTTATAGTTAGGGATGAATCAGGTAGGCCTAACATTCCCTTTGTTATGCACCAATAGGCCTAGGCTGCATGAGGTCTTCTCAGACCTGTGTGTTTATACTGCTGTCTTTAGCAGTTATCAAGTTTGTGTCTCACATCCATAATGTGTCTTTTGTCTTAGCTCTCTCTGCGCTCTCATCTTTCCCCTACAGGTTACAGATTATGACTGCCTCTCCTTGAGCCTGGATCGGGTGAAGGTTTCTTCCTGTAACCAGGGAGTTTTTCCTTCCCACTGTCGCCAAGTCCTTGCCAACAGGGATCGTGTGATTACAGCGGTTTCTTTCTAAAATTGTAGGGTCTTTATCTTACAGTACAAAGCACCTTGAGAGGAAAGTTGTTGTGAGCTGTCAGTAAATAAATAAAACTGAACTTCATAACATCTCTCTCTCTCTTTACACACACACACACACACACACACACATATACATACATACATATATACACACACACACATACATACATACATACATACATACACATATATATATTCCCCACCTCTGAGAGCACACATCTATCTATTGCAGAGATCATGTGAAAGTCTACATCGCTCCTCTTCAGGCTTACCTGTGTATGTTCCTGCTGCTTGTGATCCTGCAGGTCTGACCTGGGTACTGGCTCCTGGCACACATCACACAGAGAAATATTTCTTCTGCAGTGAATCTCGTGGGTTGTAAAATTGGCCTCAGGGATGTCATGTTTGCTTAAAGGGACAAAGAAAATTAAGAAACCTTTTATAACGTCAATCTATAAAAAATATTCATCGGGCGATGCAAAATATTCCACCTATTATATTATACCTACCAATTGCCACAGAACTGTGTGTTTTCATCTGCCATGATTTTACCAAAGACTGTGGGGGGAAAAGTAATACGTTAGTAACAAATCAGCAAGTTGTTAGGAGGAAGATACATTTAAATCAGCTCTCTGGTGACTTTGGCGTTCATATGAGCTACAGTTTGAAGCTAAAGAATATGTGTGAATGATTCGTGAAAAAGGTGCCATTTGAACATCGGGCGACAATAATATTTTTTTTATATCGAGCTCTATTAAAATAGGCCCAGACATTATATGGGCCGCCACTGTTGTTAGTCATTGAAACTGCTTGGCAGCAGGACTTTCGGTTTGCTCACCGGGTGTTTCAGGCAGGTAGCTGACGTTAGCTGACAACGATGGCCTGAATTAGCAAGGAAATTCCTCCTCAGTAATAACTAACAAGCATATTTGAAATACCTCGAAACGTTTTACTGTGCTAGCTCCTTATTATTTTTGCTAGATATATAACCCCGTATTGAATACACGACTAGGTATCACCGCAAAGTTAACGCTAGCTAACTAACTTTATAAGCGCATACGAAGAGGCTACTAAGCCAAGAAGCTAATGTAACATCGTTTCCCCCCCTTTAGATAGTTTCTGCCGACCGTTAGAAGTAAAGCCAAATCAACCGATTTAACGCTAGCGCTTATCAGTCAATGATATTCACCCAAACTCACAGACGACAGATAACTACTTGACGACAACTAGCCAGAAAAACAGTTCGCTATTTCCTTCTTGAGCTGGTTTAGATTGACACCCAACGCGGAGTTCGTCAGGCAGTTTATGACTCAACCAAACCAAAGCGTCTCGTCACAATTTATAAAATTGCAACCAGAATACACCTACCGAACGGAATGGCAGGCTCTATATTTTGGGGTCTGGACCCACTTACGTTGAAGCAGTTAAGGGTCAAAGTTAACTGTAAGTCTCAACTCAGGGCACAAAAGCTTCACTTATCTCGCCAGACTGATCTCTGATTGGTTGACAGGAGGACCGTGCAATGGCTGAAAACGTCTCGGGTAAATCTACTTATTTTTATTTTTTCTATCCTATTTCTCCGAAATCTTACACATTTAATGGTTTAGTGCACATTTTATTGTATATTTAGCTAGATATTTAAACCTATCATTTCAAAACATGATTGTCGTTAATCAGTTTTCTTTTTTTAAAACCAGAAAAATAATAGTTTCAAATTAAATAACAATAATGATTACCATCTTTAAAACTATTAGAATTTTAAGTCTACAATTTAGTGGCGATCGCAAACAAATTACCAGCTTTAGTCCCATTTAGATTCATAGCCTGGATACTATCATACACTACTCAATCACATAAAGCCAAAGTTCAGTCAAAACGTTATAAAATTAAGTCAGTTAAACTCAATGGATGTCAGTTTGTCCAGATAGAAGCATCAAACACTGAGAATTTACTTCTTGTGCTTTGTTGCAAATGAAAGCTACAACAGGTGCACTGCAGAGCTAACAAGACCACCTGCATAAGGGAATGGCTTTGCAAATGGTTACTAGAATATTGCTCTCTTTATCACTAACTGATTTTTCTCTAGTATCGCTTTTGCTAGTGTTCTTGATGGCACCTGCAGCCCGTCATGCCATCCCAAGAAGTTCTGCTGTGTCTCCCTGCTCAGGAGATAGGCGGTTACTCAAGGAGAGCTGTGCAGGGCAGTAGAAAGCCATGAACCCAGCATCAGCACCAGTATCTGCTCCCGTAAAAGCCCTACAAAATGATTCCCTGGAAACTGCTCAGCTGCATGTTACTAAATGAACTGTCAGAAACACTAATATTGGTATTGATAGTCTTTTAAAAAGACATGTCATGGAAATGCAGTACACACCAAGCAGCAGTGTCTTTTCAGTGTTTATTGAGTTTCTGATCTATCAATGCCATCATATCAGACACTTCCATTATGGTAAGGCACAGGTTTGTTCAGAGAAAACACTGATCTTATGTACAGCAAATGTGTGGACGTGGTACATACAAACAACTCTTTCTTAGCCTGAATGACCAGCCAACAATTGGTCCAATAAAAAAAAAGACAACAACAAAAAACAAAAACAAAACTGGTTTCATTCATTTCAAAGCCCTTTTTGTTAAACAAGATTCAAAAGATAAAGCCAACATTTTGCAATGCAATATGAAATGTAACGTCATACCAAAATCTTAAAAATAAAAATCATGAGGGGAAAAAAAAAAGAAAATAAATTTCAAAAACATGTCATTGAATACAGATTCAAGGTAATGCCTGGAAATGCCTGCAGAGTACTGACTTGACTAGCATCTTGTGAGCCGTGAACTAAAAGTTTACAATTACACCTTTACCTTGGTATGACGACAAGTCTTTCTTACAAAGTGGTAACAAAAAATAAAATGAATCCTGCTGCCCCTAAATCTAATAGTTAGTTCCTGTTGTGCATAATTTAAGATCATAATTGGTCACGTGATTGTCCAATAGAAATTTAGGTCCAACAAGAATTCCCTTGATAAAACCAGACAAAGCATTCAGCAGGAATATAATCTGCTTCAGTTTATAAAAAGATGGTAGTACAAACAGCCCTGCTGTTTGAAGCCGGAGGAACTGCCCATGCCTGAAATACTGCATACATCTCAGGTGTACAGGTGTAATAATAGTAATAATTATCCACTATGGTCCATTTCAGGGGGAATATTTAGTACAAATTTTGAAAATAAAAGGAAAAACAAAGAAACTAAGTACCAGCACTGACTTTAATCGGCACCACAGAAAAGAACTAAAATTTTTTAAAAAGTTCACAGATTATATTTTGCTGTTAACAGGTTGACTTTACACTACATAGTCCCTTCACAGGGTCATTATAAAAGCTATAGGTGGAACCAAATTGTAAATAAAAGCACTATATCTCACATTTTACTATTTTAATCAAATAAGGAAGGAAAAAAAGTGCAAAAAGACAGTAATGTGTGATCAAACTGAAACTACTGGAGTCTAAGATGATGTTCTTTTATGGTGTAAGAGGAAAGGCACCTTACGATTAACTATCACTGAATCTCGTCACATAATCAGACCCCTGTTAGCGTGTGGGATATCAGATACACAACTAGCGCGTGACAGAGCTCTATATACTGTTAATATACTATAATATACTGTTACATTTTTTTGCCTGCCTTCATGTAATGTTACAAAAGCCCTCTGAAAACCTTTGTTAACGTCACTACCCCCAATCCTTCCTGTTACTCTCCCTGTAAACTAATGACAGAGAGTTAAAAAAGAAAAAGAAAAACCTACATTTGGTCAGTTTCTGTAATTACAGAGGATCAGCTGTGTTTCACTTCAACTTCCAAATGTCCTTGGTCCAATTGAGAGAAAAAAATAAATAAAAAAAAATCAGTAGGTTGCTCTTAAAGAGTCACTAACCACAGTCCTGTATATAAAAAAAAAAGTTTACTCTACAAAATTATTTTATGATCTTGTGAAGCTAAAATAAACAAAAAACAGAGGCTCAAAGACAGCAAACAACCGAAAGGAACAAAAGGGAAAGAATACAGCAAAGATTCAGGAGATACGAGGAGGAAGGCACAGATTTTCAGAGCTGAGGCTAGAAGTCAGAGGTAGAAGAGGTCACAGACAGCGAAAAAAAGGAGAAAAAAATGTTATGAAGGGAAGACGTGTGATGAAATGTCTATCTGTCCTTTGATCCAAGCTTCTCGATCAAGTCGTGCAGGGGAGCGAGCTCTCGCCGGTCAATGAGGTTGAACTCCTGTAAGAAAAAAGTTTTTAAAAATTACACATGTATTCCAGATTAGTTTCTAAGATATATTTTATAAGTTTAATTAAATGGTTCTCAGACCTCATGGATAGACACAATGTGAATGATTAATGTAAACATTATTTATCTATTTAGGAGAAAACTAGACAGGGAACCTTTAAGTTTACAGTGTAAAACTATAAAATAAAAGTGTAGCATTTACTAAAGCTCAAAAATAAAAATTTCTCTCCACAACCAACACAAGGCCTGTACTATGAACCAGGATTTGGGTCATTTCAGGGTTAACTTTGGTTTCTGTACTATGAGGATGGTTCACTTCTTACCAAGGTATCCTGGTCATTTACGCTGAAGAAATAACCTTATGTCCGAGATTAGGAATGGATTCATGGAAGATACCTCAGGCCTCCATGCTCAGATAGCAGGAGCATCTAAAGTTTTTTGTTTTTTTTTAGTAACTTCTAAAGTCTATGTCTGTCCACGCTGAACGTCAGTCATAAAAGATAGATTTTAAGACACGACTGTATTCACTGACCCCCCGGCCTTGACTTTATTAACACAGCAGGTCTTTTCCCATCATACTGACTGCACATTCACACAGGACCTTAATACTGTACTGCTCTACTGTGCTTTTCCTATTACCGACACACATACGGCTGCTTTGTCTGCATTATAGTTTTATCTTCTGTAAATTCAACTGCTTTGGTGACAGTAGACCTAGGCATGTTTGTGATGGCTGCCAACACCACCCCTTTAACATGAGTGCTAGATTCATAAACCCTGGGTTAACAACCATATTCGTGTGACCGCTTATCCTGACTGCTAATGGAATCCTGCGTATGTCGACCTTTCTTTGCAGGCGATGGCCTCTTATTATTGTTGTTGAAGCAGTTAGAGCATCAGTACCTGCACTAAAACTGGCATTTAGCATCAAGCACGTGTGACGCAAGACACTTAAGTACATTATGTATAGTCTATGATAAAAAGACATCTTAACAGCACATAGTATTTACTGCCACACCCTATTAAGATGTGGTTTTATCTTGTTCTGCAACTGAGAGTAGCTCAGCTTATTCCTGTGTTTGAGCAATGTCAGCTATTGTGACAAGTGTGGTCTGTGAAGGTGTTTAAATATCAATTTCAATCTTTTTTTTTTCCTCAAAAGTGACTTTTTTCCCCCCTGTTTGGCTCTTCACATTACTTTTTTTTTTTATGTGGACATTACCACATTTAAGGATCTTGAAGAGAACCGTGTGGACAAAAATAGCCGTGCAGGCACACGCAGCACACTGCTGAACAGAAATAAACCGGGAGGCCAAAGAAGTCGCCAATCACAGTTTCACTTAAAAGTTAATGTGCAATGGACGCCAGAGAATTAGTGTGCACATGATCAAGATGAAAAGGATGAGAAGAGGGAGCTAACTTTCTAATTATGGCTTTCAGCAGAGTAATGACTACTATTTCTACATGGAGGTGTGTGTACATGCAAACATTTCAGGAGGATTTTAACTACATCTGTCTTCTCCACAAGAGTCTTGCAGCAAGATACTCATGTCAGGCGAATGTGCATGAGTCACATGTATTCTAATTTAACTGCTTACAGACTGAGGTAGCATTGCAAAAATATGTGGTATCAGTTATGGAAGTGGCTCAATGTAGATATATATTACAAGAAGTTGTCACTATCTTAAAAATGCTTTTATTCAAACCTGAGCCAAATGGAAACAGTTTCAGAAACATTATTAGTTCCCCCTCACAAAGATTACTCAAGTAAGAGAAAAAATGACTCGGGACTCTTTAGATCAGTATATATATATAAATAACAGTCCAGGTATGAAAGGGGCTGTAGAACCACAAACCACCTACCTGAACAAAGAAAATGAAGTGCTTGAAGGAGGTGTTGAGGTGGGCCTCCTCCTGCAGCTGCATCACAGAGTCAAAATGCTGGTGGTAGATGTGAGCGTAAACCCTGAACAGGCGCTTCAGGATGGTTTTGGCCACAGACATGAAATTCTTGGGAAAGGGAACTCCTGTAGGGGAGAAGGGGTTGGAAAATGCTGATGTCAAGAGAAGAGAATGCGCTGCCTCAATGTCCACTATGAATTTCATCCTAAATCCAGAGGATTGCTGGACTTTTAGCTCATTTGCCTAGCTTAAAAAATGATGTTTTGATATAAAACTACAATGCTGATAGTTAAAGCGATACTTTTCCAGTTTAAAAGTGATAGTATCACATTCACAGACAGACTGGCAGCAAGAACTGTAACTTTCTCATGCGCTGTCTTCCAGTTTTAAAACCTCAGCTGTAGAAAATGAACAAAGAGAAAGCTTGTTTGTCTAAGGGGCTTCTTGGCATCAGTCTGCTCCTCAGCATGCAAGACACAGTTTAGCTGGACTGAAGTCATGTGACTGGCTTGGACCGCCAACACCATTATCCTGCTGCCCTTGGTTATCTTGTCTGTATGTTTAGGATTGCATTGCTTTAAATGCCAAGTGTGCAGCTAAAAAACTTATTTCTGCTCTTTGGTCTTTTTATCAAAAACACAGAAGACCAATAACACCATAATTATTCTCACAGGCTAAAAGTAAAGTCAAAGGAAACATCCCTCTATCTGTTAAACACAAACAAAAGCTTTAAGTTTTGTTAAAACTCACCGATCTTGGAGGGGAAAAGTGTCTCATCATCCAGCTGATCCTGCACCCAAGTCATCAAATAGTCAATGTACTTGGGTGCAGAGCATTTGATGGGCTTCTTAATATTGGTACCATCAGCCCAGTGATACTCATACCTTCAGAGAAAGAACAAAATCAGTAGTCATCTCTCAGATTACCACCTTGTTTCACTAGTTAAACTGGACTTGCTGAAGAAAAATGAGAGCTCTGCATATAACTGTGTATCTGTCAGGACAGTGGAACGTCATCTGGTAGCTGACAGGCCAAAAAAAGAACAGAAGAGGGAAATGCAGAAGTTTCGTAGTCTTGATGTCAACAGGAAGTGAACCCCCCTCGTCTCTTCCTCCTGATTAGAGACTGAGCGCAGAAAGTCTTGGCAGGACAGAGGATAGGGGAAGAGTCTAACTAAACAGCTTCTACAGAGTCCACGAGCAAGATTGAATTCCCGTGTTCCTCATGTGACATTCAGATGACTGATTTGAAGCTGATTTAACTTAACCATCTCACCACTAAAAATGTGATCTGGGAATCTGATTCTGCAGTTAACTCAGGACATCAGGTCTTAACAGCTGGACCAGGTCTCTTATGTAAAAGAAAGCTATTTTTATCTCAGTGACACTTCCTGGTAAAACAACGGCAAATAAATAGATAAAATTTAATTGTGGAGATGATAAAACACAGGAAGTGGACCCGCATGAAATGAGTCAGCTGAATTTTGCTTTATCTGACACACAGTGCAAAACAGATTTAGCTTTTTCCTTTTGTTGGTCTTTTTTTTTTTGTTTGGGGGGGGGGGGGGATTAAATCCTCAACAAAAACATTATGTTTTGGTATCAAACACTAAAAAATGTTTCTCTCATAGCTCAATAATAACCCAAGTCTTAAAAGTCAAAAATCCACTTCTCTGAAATGTAAAAATATATAAATAATCTCAAGTACAGTCAAAGGTCAAAATAAGATGTAAATGAAATTTAAACTAAGGCAAAAAAATTTACCTTTACTCTGCCTCTGAGTTTTGCTGGCCGGTCTAAATTTCTATTGGCTTGTGAAAAAAAGTTTTAACGTTTTGTTTTTAATTGAATTAATTAATACAATCTAATGTTATCAAACTTTTTATTGTGTTTGTATTGCAGGTCTGTTTTTAGTCACAAATGTGGCTCACATTTCCATGGCAACACCTACGTGCTACAGTTAAATGAAGCACTGGAGCAAAGAATTTGTGTCGAGAATTTTTTATAATCAAATTACTTGACTAATCGCTGCAGCCCTAGTCTCGGTGTTGTTGTGTTGAATTGATCAATCTTACAGATGGCTCTTGACATTACCCATATACGCATGACAGTGGGCCATCGTGTACATCATTAACCACACAAATCGATAAAGCAACTAAACACCCGTGGTTTTCCTGCTGTGTCACAAAGTGACTTCAGTTAAATATGCCCTAGTGAAAATACTTGCTCTAAATTAAGAGCACAAACATGAGGAGGACAATGACTGGCGTTACCTTGGTCCTGCAGACATCACGGAGCAGCTCGTCTCGGTGCAGAACTCGGTGATGGTACCGTACAGCATGTTGATCTGGTTGAAGAAATCCACCGCTAATGGAAAGAGTAAATACTTATTTGTTTTATCCAGAATTTATGCATGTTATTATTATGAAGAAAGAACTGGGAGGGGGGGGTTTGCAACAAATTAGATTATAATATGTATTTTAGTATCATCTACACTCACAGTTTAATAGATTTAAAAGCACAAAATGCACATAAGCAATATATTTAAACATACCATATTTTATTAGAGATAATATATAAAACATGTAATTCTACAATCCCTGCTTAATGCAACAACCAATTATTTACCAGTTTGCCAGCTGTGTGCACTCTTCTATGACCCTACTACTCTTTTCACACCACAGGGTGGTGCAAATGTGCAGCACCTGTACAGAACTATTTTATTTATGATTCATACTAACACTGGGCACAGGCACAAACTTTAACTGGTTAGTTGGATACTGTGTGTGTACTAAGTCACTCACTATTCACTGCAATCCATTCATTGAGATCCTCTCCTTCTGGCAGCATGACAGCCTGTCTCAGGTTTCCGCTACCCAGCGTTGCCTCTGCATGTTTCAGCAGCTCATACTGGTGGGAGCCCTCTGGGATGTTCTTCTTCGGCTTGAAGGTCTTAGATGAGCGACTACCACTGGAAAGAAATCAAAGTGGATCTAAGAAATATTGTCTTCACGGTGGTCATGTGGCACAGGCCATATCTGTCTGCCCCCTGCGGGGTTAACGTCTGCCCTTCAAATGTTGACAATGTAATTTTTACATCTTAAATATCTGATAAATATACTGTTAACTGGACATGTTGATCTGTCTGTGTCTGATCCCTGCATGGCTGACTTTCATGTGTTTTCCTTCCTCTTTTATTTTTTTCCTTTATAAGGTCTTTTGGGGTAAGACTGTCAAATCAAATGTGTAACAGGACAGGGAGCTGAACACAATAAAAACTGAACTTGTGATAGTGAACTATATAAACAAGAGACTTTTCTCTAAAGTGTTGTTTTTAAAAGGCTAATCTTAGAGCAGATCCTCTTCCTGGGCCTTGATCTAAACACAGGAGGACTCCTATTCATGTGTGCACTCAGCAGATGCAAGCTTGGTGGTGGACATCTATGAACTTCACGCTGAATCCAAACTCGTGATGGATGACCGCTGCAGCGTTTGCTATCAAACCAAAAACTTTGGTTTCCACAGCGTCAGAGCCGTGACTCAACCACATCATAGTGTATACCCACTGACAGGAAATACACCAGTGTCACGGTATTACTGTAAACAACGGAAACTTAATTAGCGGCGTTGCTTTACACTTTATAACAACCCAGCGAGATTAGACCTCCAAAGGTGTGGCTCATAACTAAAAATTGAATGTCTAGCATCGCTTAAGTCAATTAGAGAGTGACTATATGAGCTAAGCTGGCTAACCAAACGCGAGTTAGCGCTGCTCACCAGGCTAGCAAAGTTAGCACGTACTAACTCACTACTTTAAAAAGTTATAGTTCGCGAGTTGTGGCGAACTGTAAATCAACAGTTTCCCGATCATGTTACAATCATCAGTGGTAGCTCTGCGTAAGAAATGGGTGACTTTAACATAACTTAAAACTATACTAAGACTGGGATGGGTAGCTGACCTCTTTATGTAGCGGTGTCTTATTTTATCGCCGCTTACTTCCCTTGACTGAACTTCGCAGAAGCGCAGCTAACATTAACCGCAAGCTCCGGCTGTAACTCAACGAGCGCTTAAAAAAGCAAAAACTTTTTTTTTTACTTACAACAGGAAGCTCATCTTGGCGCAGGAATCGTTTAAGATCCTCGATTTGAACTCTTAAAGCTGGTTTAATAAACAAAAACGCGTTTTAGAAGTACACTGTGCGAGGCACTTGTCAGTGGTGCCTGCTAACAGCAATAGTGAAGGCTAACATGAACTGCACCCGCAGACCCTCTTCCTCTGTCTGCAGCAGCGCAACCGGTAGTCTGTCGCCCCCTTCAGGCTGCCTGTGGGTACTACTACGTACATATTCCAAGATCAAAAACTTTCTGTTAGAAAGCTGTTACTTTCTTATGTGTCATCCTGGAGCACTGTGACATACTGTGACACTGTAATACTGTGACATAGAACATTCCCCTTAAGTTCTATATCATTTTTTGATTGTTTAATATGAGGACCGTGAGACAGCAGTGAGTTGTGAGTTTGAAGACAAAGTTAGAGAGGTAGGGCTGAGAGGGTTTGGACATGGTGCAGAGAAGAGATAGTGGATATACTGGACAAAGGAAGGTGAATATGAAGCTGTCAGACAGGAGAACAAGAGGAAGACCTCAGAGAAGGTTCATGGATGTAGCGAAGGAGGACATGCAGAGGACTGGTGTGACAGAGGTAGATCCTAGGGACAGGGTGAGACAGAGTCAGATTTCAAATCAAACAATGGATATGTGATCTAAGTGCAGACTGTCAGCTTAAATCTTTTCCATTTTCAGTCAAATAACAAGCTATTTCATGGCCAGGTGAGGCCTGTTCCCTCATTATAGCAAAACTAATTAAGCAGATAAAAGATCTGGAGTAAAAGGTATAAAGTCTTGGATTTGCATTTGGAACTCGCAATATGAGTCAAAAAAGACACATCAGTTCAGGTGAAGGCATCATTAGTCTGGAAACACAAACTTATCAGAGAGATATCAAAATATAAAATAAATAAATATATAAATGTATATATATAAAATAAATAAATAAATCTTTGGATATATGAAACAAGATGAACTTGTACCTGAAAGATGGAGAAGAGAAGAGAGAGACAGCATATGATCTGAAGCATACAACATTATCTGTCAGAGAACCTACCTATTCATTTATAGCCCACCCTGCATGTGCTCTCCAGATAAGGAACTACAGTATATCTCGGTACTCTCCAAGCTCTAAAGCTAGGCTGTTCGCTTGTGGTTACACCAAAGAGTGAGAACAAACAGTGGCAAACAGAGAACAGATCAGTGTGTTTCAAAAGGTTCAGTCAGGTATTAATTTTTTCCACAAAACCTCCAGCAGACACTGGGGTTAACTCCAAAAAATCTACTGCCTTAGAAATGTTTTTCCTTTAAGAGCCCACAGTTTGAAATAAACATGAGTACAGATAAGACCTACATTTAATCAAGTGCTTGACTAAAGTACAATTCTTGTTATGTGTACACAAGTGAGTACTTAAATGTATAAAAATCTGCTTTAATACATCCAATAGATAAATGTGCCATGTACGCCATTATATTTGTAGTTGTTTTTTGTTATGGTTTCAGAAAAAAAACGTTTTAAAGGATGTTAAAGCTGCCAATAGGGAATAAAGTAATTACAATGGCTCAACTTGACCAAGAAAGCCATGATAATCATTTAGTAATCTAATAATAACAATCCAGTTTCAGTGTTGGTTTTAGTTTTCTTATTATAATGTGGGCGTTAAGAGTTAGAAGCAAGATTTAGGAAGTTCAGAAAATGTATTACAATACAAACACAACGCTTCATTTGATAGACTCGATATTAATTTATGCCAAAGCCTCATTAAGCTGCAGTATCTCTGAGCATTGCAGGGTGTGACTTTAGCCTGCGGTGAAAACTGCAAAAAGTTCTGTGAAAATACAAAACAATTAAGTTAGTTTTGCAACTATATAATATTCTTAAGTTTTTTTTATGAATTAGCTTTTAAGTCAGTTGATTCAAATGTTTTTACCACACCTAGACTTGGTTTCAATGTTGTTTTAGTTAACTATGATGTTTGAACGTGGAAACTGTACGTGAAAAATACCTTTAAAGCTCTAAAAACGACAACAATTCTGACCTGGTACCGCTCATGAACTTCCACGCCTGTGCCACGCAGGGCTGCTGTAAAGGGGCAGGGCTCTGGTATCCGCAGCGGAGGGCTGGTGGTGACTGATAGCAGTGACGTAGGCAGCTTGCACGAGCGGGGGGAGGTGTTTAAAGCCGCTCTGCTCCTCTTCCTCCTTCCCAGCCTCTTTCCGTCAGACCCAGGCTTTCGTAACCGGCGCTGTAGCTGTGTCTCGTCTTCTGTGAGCCGGTGAGAAATGGCAGCGCTCAGGACTCTCAGGAAACTGTGCCAGCACACACAGCACCAAGTCTGTAAACTGCACACGTCCGCCTCGAGGTGAGTCTCCTCCGCACATCTGCTGCGATCTGAGCGGCTTTAACGGTCATTTTACGACCTCTGAGGCGGCTCTGTTACCTCACTCGGTGGGAGTGTTTGCTTCTTTTTTGTTTGTTTTTTTCGTGTGCCCACTTGTTTGTAGGCTTTTGTGTACGCGGATGAGGTCGCTGGGTTTTATTCTGCCGGCTTTTATTGTTTTATTGCACTAAACGTCCTCAGTGGAACACATTTCGCAGCGCCCCCAGCGTCAAGCCGGTAATATTGCAGGTGTAGATGAGGTGGGGGGGGCTGGCTGATGAAATCTGTGTGAATGCTTGCACCCAGTGGCAGGCTTCAGGTGGAGTTCGAGATTTAGTTGTGCACACCTGGGGGAAAAATGAAGACGCAGGGCAGATCTGATCACATGCTGCAGCAGCCAGTCAGCAAGTGTCTGCATGTGCAGGTATTTATTGGAAACGTGCTGAGTGCAGTATGACTACATGCAATTAACTAATCTTACACACACACACACACACACACACACACACACACACACACACACACACAAAAAAAACTACTCCTAAATCTCGTGGGTCCTGCACATGATCTGCATGATTTATAAAGACACAAGGCTGATATTTTAGGGTGTGTGTGTGTGATTATCTTACATCACTGCTTGTGAAATTAGATCTGGTGGGATCACGTTACTTCAAGTTAATTTCATTTATATGCCAGGAAAATTTATGCAAACTCAGCTGCGAGAGGTACTAGTGCTGTGTTATCATGTGCAGAGTAAACGATTATGAACATGAGTGATTCAAACATTTGTAAAGAGAGATCTTTCCTCAGCCTGTCGGGGGATTTGAACTTCTATTAGCCCTGTAACCTCGACACATTGCGTCTGGGACCTGATACACTGGTCCCAGTGATTCTCCCCAAAACACTCAATCCTTTTCTCTGAGGATTTAATTACTTTGGACAGGATAAAAGTGACGGTTACATCACTGTTGATGGCTCATTACTCTTCAGTTATTAGCCCCTGCGCTCTGCTTGTCATTATATAACGGAGAACCATCTTTGACACTTGTGTAAAGAGGACAAAACGGTGCGGCGGCCGTCTGTACAGTCCTAAATACTGTACATGAGTTTTAACCATCGAATATCTCTGACCGTGCCTGATGGTTAGACGCTCAAAGAGCCTGACTTTCCTTGCTTGTTTCTACCAGTTTACTATACATATTGAAACATAAGTGGTAGTAAAGCATGTGGCCCAGTCTAATGTCTAATTTTAGAGGCTAGAACTGGTGCTTGGATTAAGGTTGAGATGAGTTTACATGAGTCCTAGTTGAAAGAATTTTGGCTTAGCTTTGGCGCCGCAGTGCTGTTATTTGTGCCATGTTGGCCAACGCTTTTCAATAAAGCTGTGTACAAATCTGTCAGGAATTAAACAATGAATCCCAGCATCTTGATGCCCAATAACTTGTCTTCTGACCACAATTGTCTCGCCAACTCCCAGGCAGGAGGCGGTGGTCATCTCAGGAAAGAAACTCGCACGGCAAATTAGGGATGAGGTCCGGGCCGACTTAGAGGAATGGGTCTCAACCGGCCACCGAAGACCCCATCTGAGTGTTATTCTCGTGGGAGACAACCCAGCCAGCCACTCCTACGTCCTGAACAAGACACGGGCTGCGGCTGATGTCGGTAGGTGTTTGGGGGGGGTTCTTTCTTTTCCCCCTTTTTTTTTTTTTTTTTTAAAGGCTGGGGTGCACATTCCTCATACGTGTGATTGGCAAAACTGCAAATGTTCGCCTGTGTGTTCGACCTCCCACAGGAATCTCAAGTGAGACGATTCTCAAGCACACGAACATCAGTGAGGAGGAGTTACTGGACTTGATCGATAAACTCAACACCGACCCCCGCGTGGACGGTCTACTGGTACAGCTGCCTTTGCCAGGTACAGAAAAACTGGGAAATCCTGCATTGGGAGTCGGGTTTGCGTACGTGTGCGTGGTGTCTAGAAATCCAGTATGACGGCTGAATGCAAGCTTTGGTGAACGTGTGTTTGCAGCGCCTACGTTGGAGCAGAAAACTGCCCACCTGCCTTCTGTCTCTTGCTTGGATTTTCTTTCATGCTGGAGGCAGAATTTGCTCTGAGAAACTGAATTTGACCTTATCACCGTGAGCAGAACGAGTTGATGAAGTTGTTTTGACTGTAACTCCCTTTTCTTTGGACAGAACACATCAATGAGCGTGCAGTTTGCAATGCAGTTTCCCCAACCAAGGATGTGGACGGTTTCCACGTGGTCAACGTGGGCCGCATGTGCCTGGATCAGTCCACCATGCTCCCTGCCACTCCCTGGGGTGTTTGGGAAATTATTAAACGCACAGGTAACTATAGTGACCACCTTCTTCCTCTCAGACTCTTCAACAGCATTTTAACCCTATCTAAAAGATTGCAAATTTTCTTATCTTCCAGGTATTCCTACTTTTGGGAAGAATGTCGTGGTTGCCGGACGCTCCAAGAACGTGGGCATGCCCATCGCCATGTTGCTGCACACAGACGGCCGTCACGAGAGGCCCGGAGGTAGGACAGGATGTGTGCGCGCATTGCTGGGTGATAAAACCAAAGCGTGTGCACCCCTAACGCCTCTGTTCTCTGTGGCAGGTGACGCTACAGTCACAATTTCTCACCGATACACTCCAAAGGATCAACTTCGCCAACACACTAAAATTGCTGACATCATTGTGGCTGCCGCAGGTTTGTTGGTTGGCTTGTTTGTTAATCTTTTTTGTCTTTTTGCTGTACTTCACTAACTGTACTCTTTGTGCGTGTGTGCACGTTACTGACCTTTCAGGGATTCCAAACCTCATCACTGCAGACATGATCAAAGAGGGAGCAGCTGTGATCGACGTCGGAATAAACAGAGTGCAGGACCCCGTCACTGGAAAGAGCCGACTGGTTGGGGATGTGGATTTTGAAGGTAAGGCTTGAGAGGGAGAACATATGTGAACACCTCAGTGCTCCACACAGGCATTTAAAATTGTGTTCCAATAAAACGTACTACAGGCAACCTTTTTCAACTCCCCCGCGCACGCTCTGTAACAGCTGTATCCTATTACAGTACCACACTCAAGTTCAGTGAGCTTTTTAAAGCGACCCACTCTTTCATAAATGTTTGTAAAAGCACACTGCATGGCTTTGTGCTTGATTTTTATACAGCTGTGGCAATGGGACTGAAAACGCCCAAATTCGAAGATTAAGCAGTGTGACCTGCTAGCTTTGTCGTTGTTCTGGAGCTAGATTAGTTTGTAATAGTTTCTAGAAAACATTATAATGATGTTTGTTGTTTTAATTAGATTTCTATATGTGACAATATGACACAAAATGTCAGATTTTTCCCATATTGAACACTTGCAATTCACATCCAAAAGTTAATATAACCAAGCTGGAGCTTCCTTTACATCCATGCAGATACATGCACAACTCTTTGAGTAATCCTGCTAGCAAAACGAACCAATGACGTCGCTTCCTTCATGGAGGAAAGGGAATAAATAAATGTTTGATAAACAAACATTTGGCACTGACTTATACTTTGCTTCTTGGAAGCTGAACGTGATCATGTTTCTGGAGCACATACTTGGCATCATGTTGCCTCATTACCCGTGTTATTTATAAAGTGACCTTTATGTTGTTTAAATTATATTTATACACACGATGATGGAAGGAGGACCTGATTTCTGGAAAGTTCCATTTGGTGTATAAGGTCTTAATCGTCATACTTTTCCTGTGCACTTTCAGGTGTGAGACAGAAGGCGGGATTCATCACCCCAGTGCCAGGAGGCGTTGGCCCGATGACTGTGGCGATGCTGATGAAAAACACTGTCAAAGCAGCCAAGAATGTCCTCCTGTGTCCCCCACAGAGGATCCGCATGGCTGTTGCGTCCTAATTGGATCAAGACCACATCCCAGCAACAGTGACACATTCCACCGACGAGCCCACTCTCCACCTTCCCAACACTACCGTTATTATTTATTTATTTTTTTTACTTGGAGCAACCTGCCATGCTCCCCTTGCACATGGACTGGAAAGATGATAGCCTTATGGATCTCTTTCTGCTGATGTCGTTAACCTTTCATGACTCCAGGTCCAGCCATAATTAGACTGTTACATTCACTGATGCAGCAGCATGTTTAATGTAACAGTGTTTTCAGTATTTATCATTTGCATTGTGCAAGGTTTTAAAGAATTTTCTGAGATTGTTATTTATTGGTACATTGACACAGTGTTTGAACATGAGTGAAACCGGGTGGTGAGGATTAGCTTGCCGGGTGACTGAAGCCTTTCTGCTGTATGTCTTTCTATTAGTTTATCCTGATGTGCAAAGGGTGATAAGGGCTAATGTCATCAGGGGCAAGTATGTATATCCGTATACAAGCTTTAAAGATTCACAATTGCCTTTGAGAAATCTTTGAAATAAATATTACAAATGTCTCCTAATGATGTTTTTCTGTTACTTTTTAACCGCCAAGTAAATGATGTCCGTGTTTCCTGCACTTCTTTCTAGTTCTTTTCTTTTCCTGTTTTGCTGTAACTGGATGCACCTCTCGCCTCGAGGAATGATCTTGGAGTTGAAGAGCAGTAAAGTTTGAGTTCACTGAGTTTGGCGCTCTGTCTCAGATTTACTGAATCTACAAAAACTAATTAAGACTGACTGAAATCAGAAGGGAGATCTGGGGGAT